TCTTTTTCCACCACTCATCTGTCAGTCTGTTGTATTGTGGTGGCTTGCAGATTGTTGTGTGGATGAAAGCTATGCCACCAGTATTTTAAGTACCAGTAGCGTCACCCGTAGTGGACAATTTTCATGGAACTTCCAGACTAAGACTGGAAAGAAGAACAGGGCCACTCACTTCTGAAAAAATTGGCCAATGAAGCCTTATCAATAGCAGTGAAACATTGTGTAATATATTACTGGAAAATTTTATGAATAGCAGTGGAACATTGTCTGTTATAGTGCCAGAAGATGAGCCCCTCAGGTTGGAAGGAACTCAAAATAAAACTGGGGAAGAATGCTTCCTCAACGTTAAGTCATCTTTAATGACATGGATGAAGTAAACTTTCAGGACTTTCATTTTCTGATAGGGCACTACTCAAAATGAGAAGAAACAGCTGTAAATATTTATTAATATTTGGAATGTGGAATGTGTGAAGTATGAATGTAGGAAAATTTGAAGTTGTCAAAAATGAAATGGAATGCATAAAGATCAGTGTCCTAGGAATTAATGAGATGAAATGGACAGATATCAGCCATTTTGAATCAGACAATCATAGTCTACTATGACAGGAGTGACAAATCGAAGAGGAATGGCATTGCATTCATCACCAGAAAGAACATTTCAAGATCTATCTTGAAGTACAATGCTGTCAGTGATAGGATGATATTCATACACCTGCAAGGGAGACCAGTTAATACAATTATTATTCAATTTACTCACCAACCTCTAAAGCCAAAGTTGAAGATATTGAAGATTTTTATCAACTTCTGCAGTCTGAAATTGATGGAACATATGATCAAGCTGTATTGATTATTACTGGTGATTGGAATGTGAAAGTTGGAAACAAAGAAGAATCACTAGTAGTTGGAAAATATGGCCTTGTTGATAGAAATGATGCTGGAGATCACATGATAGAATTTTGCAAGACCAACAAATTATTCATTACAAACAATATTTTCAACAATGTACGTGCGGACCTTGACAGATGGAATACACAAGAATCAGATCAACTACATCTATGGGAAGAGGCATTGGAGAAGCTCAATATCTTTAACCAAGAGAAGGCCAGGAAGTGACTGTGGAATAGACTATCAAATACTCATATGCAAGTTCAAGTTGAAGATGAAGAAAATTAAGTCCACAAGAGCCAATATATGACTAGGATTATATGTCATCTGAAATTAGAGGTCATTTGAAGAATAGATTAGATACACTGAACACCAATGACCAAAGACCAGACAAGTTGTGGGATGACGTCAAGAACATCATACACATAGAAAGCAAAAGTCGTTAAAAAGACAGGAAATGAAGAAAAGACCAGAATGGGTGTCAGAAAAAGCTCTGAAAGTTGCTCTTGAACTTAGAGTAATTAAAAAGAATGGAAGAAATTATGAAATAAAAGAGCTGAGCAGAATATTCCATAAGGCAGCTTGAGAAGACAAAGTAAAGTATTATAATGAAATATGCAAAGACCTTGAGTTAGAAAACTGAAAGGGAAGAACACACTCTGCATTTCTTCAGCTGAAAGAGCTGAAGGAAAAACTCAAGCCTCGAATTACAGTATTGGATTATATGGGCAAAATATTGAATGATGAAGGAAGCATCAAAAGAAGATGGAAGGAATATATAATCACTGTACTAAAAAGAAAAAAAAATTGATCAACTTTCAGATATTACAGGAGGTGGCATATGATCAAGAACCAATGGTATTGAGGAAGAAGTCCAAGTTGCCCTGAAAGAATTGGCTGAAAACAAGGCTCCATCCAGGAACTGACAGAATACCCATTGTGTTGTGTCAACAGACATGTGCATCTCTGGAGGCATTTATTCTTTATGCTATGTAATTTAGAAGACAACAACCCAGCCAATTGACAAAGAGATTGATATTTCTGTCTGTTTCAAGGAAAAGTGGAAATTATCAAACATTATTATTAATATCACATGCATGTAAAATTTTGGTGAACATAATTCAAAAACAGTTGCAGCAGTACATTGACAAGGAACTTCTAGAAATGCAAGCTGGAAACAGAAGAGGACATGCAATGAGGGATGTCATTGCTGACATTAGATGGATCTTAGCTAAAAGCAAAGAATACCAGAAAGATGTTTGCCTGTGTTTTATTGACTATGCAAAAGCATTTGACTGTGTGGATCATAAGAAATTATGGACAATATCATGAAGAATCAAGATTATAGAACACTTAGTTGTACTTGTGAGGAACTTGTACACAAACCAAGAGTCTGTCATTCAAACAAAACAACTGGATACTGCTTGGTTTAAAATCAGGAAAGATGTGCAACAGGGTTGTATCTTTTTATCATACTTAGTCAATCTGTATGTTTAGCAAATAATCTGAGATGCTGGACTATAGAAGAATGTAGCATCAGGATTGGACGAAGACTGCACTGTGCAGATGACACAATCATGTTTGCTGAAAGTAAAGATGTCTTAGAGCATTTACTGCTGAAGATCAAAGGCTACAGTCTTCAGTGTGGATCACACCTCAACATAAAGAAGACAAAATCATCACAACTGGACCAATAAACATCACAATAAATGGAGAAAAGATTGAAGTTGTCAAGGATTTCATTATATTTGAATCCACAATGAACAGTCATGGAAGCAGAAGTCAAGAAATCAGAAGCCATATTGCACTGCGCAAACCTGTTGCAAAAGACCTCGTTAGGTGTTAAGGAGCAAAGATGTCACTTTTAAGACTAAGTGTACCTAGCCCAAGCCATGGTATTTTCAATTGCCTCAAACAGTTGAAATATGTGAAAGCTGGACAATGAATAAGGAAGACTGAAGAAGAGTTGATGCCTTTAGATTGTGATGTTGGTGAGGAATACTGAAGATACCGAGGACTGCCAGAAAAACAAACATATCTGTCCTGGAAGAAGTGCATCCAGAATGCTCCTTGGAAGCAAATTGGCCAGACTTCATTTCACCTACTTTGGTTATGTTGTCAAAAAGGACCAGTCCCTGAGGAAAGCTATCCTGCTTGGTAAAGTAGAGGGTCAGCGCAAAAGTGGAAGACCCTCAACAAGATGGATTGACAAGGTGGCTACCACAATGGGCCATTGCAAGGACTGTGAGGATAGCTCAGGACTGAGCACTATTTCATCTGTTGCGCATAGGGTCCCTATGAATCAGGGCTGACTCAATGGCAACTAACAGCAACAACATGCTGCTTTTGTCATTCAGTGGTTCTATTAAAATAACAATGAAATGCAATAATTATCTCAGAAATTGTGCTAAAACATTTCATTGATATACAAGTAAAATTAACTTGATTTACACATTATTGCAGGAAGATTGAACAATCCAATAATTGAGGAGGAAATAGATCTGAATACTAAACATTTAAGACTATGATTTGGTAGCTTACACTGGTTAAGCTTTATTGTCACAACCTTTAAAAATACATATTCAACTTATAACATATATAAGGTTTGCATAGAAAAGAGCCACAAATTCAAGAAGGATTCAGAAAATTATTTTTTACCTTTCAAAACCACAATTCTAATATTTATACAACTTTATAAAAGTGATAAAACATAAAAATGTGTAAAATTAAAATGGATAATATGAAATATAAATGGATAAATATTTTAATCACATTTCATTCCTGGAGCTGTCATGAATTTTTAAAAATAATAAACAGTAAAATTTTGCTACTGTAAAAATGGCAAAAATTAAAAATCTCTACAATAACCAATACTATATATATATTGTACACTTTTGCATTCCAGGCACCATTATTTCAGTCACCTAGGAGGTTCTCTATAAATATTTCTTGTGTAAATGAATAAAAGCATATGAGACATGTAGGTGAACAGACAGGTCTATAGCATAGTGGCTGCATAAAATGGTTTAATACTGTTGGAAAACAGTATGGTCTCACATGTTTAAGAGACTTGAACTTTTTTATGCAGTTTAATTCTACAACCTTATTCTTTGAAATTATGAAGAGAAGAGTTTCCATTTTCAGCCTTCTTTATTAGATTTAAAATTGGAAATTATAATAATAGATGAATGATTAAATGTACAGTGAAATGTGTGAGAAATGGAACTTAATGGAACTGCCTTGTTTTTCCAAGTCTCTCAGGTTTTCTGCTTCTGACAGGGTGCAGTCTCATCACCTTTCTATTGGCTCTTTTAGTGGAAAATATTTGCAATTTCCTTCTCTGACATGTTTCTGAGTTGCACAATCTCCAGGTTTTGTAGGCTTTATTGTATTATGATATGAATTTCATTGAATGTCATGCATCCATGAACATTATAAAAGTAAAACCATGTAGCTGTACATTGTTGTTGAGTATAGTTGAGTCAATTCTCAACTTACAGGGACCCTAAGTGATGGTATAGTACTGCATCATATGGTTTTTCAGACCAGAATCATTACAAAAGCAGATTATCCCCTTTTCCCTGCACAGCTACTGGGTGTGTTTGAACTGCCAGTCTTGTGGTTAGCAGCCAAGCTCTCAATTGTTGCACCACCAGGGCTCCTTGAATCAATATACACAATTGGTATGTATAAAGACAAAATTAACCAAAAATACCTGCTTTGGTTGGTGTAATTGTGGGTAAATTATCACTATTTTATCCCTTCTTTGTTGTAATATTGCCTAAAAAGAAAAAGTGTGCTTATAATTGATGGTGTTTTTGTGTATATGTTTGTGTCTGTGTTTATATGTATTGGGAGGGAAAGGTGAGTAGTGGAGATATAATAAAATGTTATACTTGTTTATTTTCTCTTTATTTGGAAAAATGAACCAATGCTTTTAATTGCTAAAAAGGTGCAGGAATTACATGAAGTGTTTCCCTGTTGACAATGTTTGTAATGCATGATTAATCCACCAGAAGAAGAAGAAAAAAAATGTGTTATTGCTTTCCCTTAACACCACGTATTGAAAGAACTCAATATTCTTTAACATGTTCTCTGTATATAATATTGTCCAACCATCAACAGAAGGACAAAAATATTTTTTTCCTGGTGAATTCTCTACCCAACACCAACTTTTTGAAAGCTTCTTTCATGACCTCATTCCTGAGGCTATAGATAATAGGATTGAGAGTTGGGGGTATCACTGTATAAAAGATAGAAATCATAAGGTCAAAAACAGTTGGAGAATCTGAAGTTGGTTTGAGAAAGTCAAAGATACCTGTGGATAGAAAAAATGAGACAACAAAGAGGTGGGGCAGGCAGGTGGAGAAGGCCTTGGATTGGCCCGCAGCAGAGGGTATTCTAAGAACTGTGGAGAAGATGTGGATGTAGGAGAGGACAATGGAGGTGAAGCAGATCAATCCCATCATAGCCATGAAAATGTTAACTCCAACAACTCCAAGGTAATCATTGGAGCAGGAGAGCTTTATCAACTGGGGGACATCACAGAAGAACTGGTGGATTATTTTCACTCTACAGAATGTGATAGAAAATGTGATTGCTGTGTACAAGATTCCAGAGATGCTTCCACTTAGCCATACAGCTACTACAGCCCACTTACACTTACAAGGATGCATGATGACCTCATAGTGCAGTGGGAAGCAGATGGCTATATAGCGGTCATAGGACATCACTGTGAGAATGGCCACCTCAGCTGAAACAAAAGATGTGAAGAAGAAAACCTGGAGCGTGCACTGACTACGAGAAATGTAACCATCATTCATCAGAGCATTATTAACAGACTGTGGGACTGTAACTGAAATGAAGGAGAGATCCAGAAGGGAAAGGTGCTTTAAGAAGTAATACATTGGGGCTTGGAGATGCTGGTCCAACGTGGTGATGATGATAATGATGAGATTACCTGCCAGGGATAATAAATACATCACCAAGAAAAGGAACCCATGTAAAATCTGTAGCTCACGAATGTCAGAAAACCCCATGAGGAGAAATCCACTCATTGTGGTTATGTTTGCAGTAATCATTTTGAAGATAACAATTGTGGTGCATCTGTAAGAAAAGAGGGTATGAAAATGCAGTAGAAAAATAGGAATTTAAATTTCCTTTCATTCATTTATTATTACTTCTTAAAACAATTATTTATTAACTGTTTCCTATGCATTATCATCTGTGCCCTTGATGTTTGGAATCCATACATGTAGCTTACAGTCTATACTAGAAAACCAGTACTTATTCTTTAGTCAAATATGTTAAAGTGACTGATCCTGTCACAGAAAAATAGTTACATTTGCATCACCAAACAACCCACCAACTTCTGGTTCCACTAATGAAACCAATTGCTTTGTTTTAAGTCAACAACAGAAAAGTAGGAATCAGCTGTTGACTACAGATCTGAAAATCATATGTGTTGCATTTCTGTATAGTGCACACCCTTATCTAAACAGGTGGAATGGCTCTGTGGAGGAAATATAGTACTGGGAATTGAAAAATGGATTAGCTGGGTGGACAGGAAAATCCTTAAAGTCTATCCCTGTCAAACAATAATGTCATAGGGAAAGCCCCTGTAATTGTGAAACAAAGGGCCGAGTTATATGGTTTTTTTTTTTTTTTTTGCCTTTCCAATTAACATCTCATCTAATGGAATCTCATTGAAATCAAGAACAAAAACACTTGGAAAGGAAATAGTTACATGTTACTCTCAGATTCAATGTTTAATCTAATTTCCTGGTGGATTTTCTGGTATCTAACTTAATTTTATCTCTGAATCCTCATTTCTTTCACCTTTTCTTATTATTTGCAACATCAAAAGAGAATCTCAAGAGGAATTAAGTGATACATATTTCTCAGAAGGGAGAAATGAAGTTTTGGTTCCTTGTCCAGTGCTTTGGGCTTTGTGGGCGGGAAATATCAAGATCTGTCTTTTCAGTCAGGTAACTAAAACCAAATCCATTTCTATTTAGTCAATTCCAACTTACAGTGACCCTATAGGACAGAGAAAAGATGCCCCATAGGATTCCAAAGCTGCCATCTTTATGAAAGCAGAATTCCATGTCTTTCTCCCATGGAGTGGCTATGGGGTTCAAACCATTGATCTTTCAGTTAGCAGCTGAGCACTTAACCACTTTGTCACCAGGACACCTTTTCAGTTTGAGGGCTGATGAGTTAGTTCATAACTACCTTCCCACCCCAGCCAAAAAAAAAAGAAAAACGCTGCCATTGAGTCAATTCTGACTCATAGCAACCCTGTGGGATGGAATAGAACTGCCTGTAAGATTTCCTAGGCTGTAAATCTTTAAGCAAGACAACTGCCTCATCTTTCTCCCTTTAAGCTGCTGGTGGGTTTGAACCACCAGCTTTTTGTTTAGTAGCCGAATACCTTAACCACTGTACTAGCCGAACTCTTTCCCTTCATAACAAGTCCCTCATATTCCCTAACTTCTTCCATTTGTGAATTCTAAGCAACAATTGCAAAACTGCTGTATCAGAATGTCTTTGGGCTTTATTCTGAATGAGGTGACATTTCACCAAATAATTTTGTATCTTGGTAACTTATTTTCTTAGAAATGATAGCAGGGAGAATCCAAAGTTCTGAGGCCTCATCATTTTGAGAGAGACTTATCTTGATTAATTCAATAGCTCTCTTGTATGCTTTATTTTTCTAACATCTGTCAGTCTTTCCTAGTGACATCCAGACTTATTCTGCCTCTCACACTTCTTCTCTTCCCTGAAGAATGAACTTGACATTGATCATTCTGTTAATACATTCTACTGTGTGACATGGGTCAGCGGTTTCAGATTTACAGTAAAAATAGATATTCAATTAAGTAAAATGTTGTTTGGTTGCCAAATGTAAAGTCCCTTTCTCTCAATCTGTGTAAACAAAGCATAAGGTTAATGTATTTAGAATGCTCCTAATTTTATCCATTTCCATCAAAACCCCATACTAGATAATAGAATGAGAGCTGGACAATGAATAAGGAAGACCAAAGAAGAGTTGATGCTTTTGAGTTGTGGTGCTGGCGAAGAATGCTGAAAGTACCATGGACTGCTAAAAGAACTAACATCTGTCCTGGAGGAAGTGCACCCGAAATGCTCTTTGGAAGCAAGAATGGCCAGACTTCATCTCACCTATTTTGGTCATGTTGTCAGAAGGGACCATTCCCTGGAGAAGGATGTCATGCTTGGTAGGGTGGAGGGTCGACGAAAGAGGGGGAGGCCTTCAAAGAGATGGATTGACATGGTGGCTGTGATGATGGGCTCAATTATAGCAGGGATTGTGGAGCTGGTGTGGGATCGGGCAGTGTTTCGTTCTGCTGTGCTATGGGATCGCTATGAGTTGGAAATGACTCAACGGCACCTAACAACAACAACAACAACAACAGATAATAGAAAGCAGGAGGAAATAGAGAGCAATTTGGAGCAACTGTATTGGAGCAATTGTATGTTGCTTCTGATATAATTTCTTCCTTTCCATGTCCTTGTGAAAACTGGCATGGCAGAAGTGTTGTCATCTGACCTCCTCCACTAACTTCAAAAAGAGCTAAAAGGATCATTATCAGCATGAACAGCCTAAGGTAGATTCTTATGAGACAGAGTCTGCCTCTAATGCCTCCATTCTTCAACTTTTTTACCAATTTTGACACATTGTCCCTCACATGACACTCTATTTCTCTACTGGGTATGAGAGCATTCATTGTAAAGGGCACACAGAAATTACAGACAATACTCACAATTATGGGGTTTATTAAGGAAGTACAGGTTGCAATTCAGATTCAAGAACACTCAGGATACAGTTCTTTGATTAAGACAGTCTTTTCTCAGCTGTGCTGTAAGCAAACTTTCTCTGTCTCTTTGGCATTTTGGCCCTGTGGGCCTCTTGACCTCTGCCTTGCTCAGGAAAGTGTTATAAAGTTCTTTCAGCTCTAGCAATAACTGCCCAGGGCCACCCCATTCCACCAGCAAACTTCCTGCCCAATGGCATTCAGCTTTCTCAGTCTCTGGGTCTGAAGTCTACCATGCTGTGTCCTACCAGTCTCCTGGTTCTGCTCTCTTTCCTGTCTTGGTTGTGTCTGCTCTCCTCTCTTGTATGAAAACTTTCTGTCTCCTAGGTCAAGGGAGTTCCAAGTTTAGGGAAGCTTGGGAAGTGCTTTGCTCCCTCCTCTTCTTCTCGTTAGCCAGGCCCATTTTTCACCTCTAGGCTGGCTCATTTTAAACCCAGTGGGATGGCAAAACTGACCAATCCCCACATTAGATTTCTGTATGACTTATGTCCATGGTCCATCTCCCACAAAGGTTTGTATTATAGCACAATACCCAAACCTCTTGCTGGGCAACAAGCCCCTCATTTGCATAGCCTCATCCAGTCATTTGGGGAGAATTACAAAGACTAGGTTAGAAGGGCCCTTTAAATAATTCACTGCAACTCAATCCCTTTTTTTTTTTTTAAAGTTCTTTTTCCTTGAGTTGGTAAAATGATAAACAGTATTATTGTCCATGGGAGCTCTGGTAGCCTAGTGCCTAAGGCGCTTGACTGCTAACCTGTAGCCTAGTGCCTAAGGCACTTGACTGCTAGCCACTCTTTGGAAGGAAGATAGGGCAATCTACTTCCATAGTGATACTGCCTTGGAAACCCAAAGAGGGGTGGCTATGAGTTGGGGCCGACTCGATGGCACATAACAACAACAACAATAACAACAACAACAACAACAACAACAACAACAATTATTGTCCATATTTGATATTGATTTTGGTTTATTAAATATTTTAATTTGCCAAATTTGTACAAGTTATCATAATTCAACCAAAACCCAAAAAAACCAAACTCAGTGCCATCGAGTCGGTTCCAATTCATAGCAACCATTCCTTGGGTTTTCGAGGTGGTATCTCTATGGAAGTAGATTGCCCAGTCTTCTTCCAAGGAGCAAGGAAAAAACTAAACAATCTTAAGTGTTCATTTTTATGGGACAGATGTTATGCTAGAAATCATCGCTAAATAATTTAACCCACATAGACATTATTATAAGAAAAATTAAGGCTCAGAGTATTTTAGTAACAATATCTGAGCCCCAATCATTTGTTTCTTCTGATTCATATGGTACATTATATCCAAAAAATATTATGTATTAATAATTGGCACACAGAAACATTAGAGAAAGGCACAAAAGATATCTATTCAGAGATCTGTTTCTCATAGTGTTATTAGGAATTATTTGAGGAAATGTTTAAAAATTATTTTCCTGAATACTTATATAAACACATAAAATATTAATTTATTTTCCTTAAATGACTCATTATCATAGAATATTTATTTAAATCTGATAATTGGATTTTTTTTAATCTGCTCATTTTCAGAGAAGTTAGCATCCTCATTGTTACAATTAATATTCTTGCTTTTTCAAACTCAACTCAAAGAACATAATGTTCTGTCAATTTCCACAAAATATTTCTTTTCCTCATTCAATATTGGAACACTCACCACAGCTGTTTTGGTTGTGGAGGTAGCAATCAAGCTGATTACCAACTTCAAACTTTTCTCACCTACACTCCTACTGATCTTTAAAACACACTGTTTCCCTAGAGAATCCAGTTAGTTGGTTTTTTTTTTGGTCATCTTTCATAATGGAAGCCTGAACTGAATAATAAACATATTTCATTTTCACTACATTTCTGGCACCAAAAAATATAGCAACAAAAATTCATACTCTAATTTCTACAAAATGATAATGATTAGCAGTTTGTAATGCTTAATTTCAGTAATTTTTAAAGTAACTTAGCATGAATAATTTATTTTTCTTTATACACCACCTCAGGGTGTTTTTCCTCTTCTGTTTCCCCAAAAACCACCCACTCTAAATTCCTCTGAAAGCCATGCTCTTCCTTTCACATCAATAAATTCCTATGTAATGTGAATTTTTTTCCAAAGTAACTTTAGCAATTTATACCTCCATCAGCTTTGTATAAGAATTCTCATAGTTGTTTTTTTTTTTTTTTTTGGTAACTTGGTATTGCTGTGATGATATGTGTA